AAAATTCACTTATTTTTTCTTATTTTTTGTTTAATACTTTTTTCTTTGTGGTCCCTGATTACTCGTGTACTAATGAATGAGATGAGACACTTATTTCTTAAATAAGTAATCTTTTAAATATATTTTTTATAAATAATTAAAAATTATATATATATATATATATGAAGCTCAAACACTCATAAGCTTACACCAATAAATATTTTCTTTCTTCTCAAAATTTTTAACCTTCTTTTTCAATTCAACCTAACATGATTTTAACAAGTGTCTAAAGTAAATGTACAACATTTCATTTCAAAATTATTTCTAAGTTATTTGTTGAAAAAATTGTTATATTCATTAATAAGTTGTTTAAGTCTTTCATCTTTTTACCTATCTCATCACTGTAATTAGGATTAATTTTTAGTAATTGGAGTTTGATTTCATTTACAAATAGATAAATATTCATAATCAATGTGTTTGAGATTACTTTTCACGAAAATGAGAATAAAAAACCATAGATCAAATATGATACACATGGAATAGATGTGTATTGAAAATAGTAGTGTTTGAAACTTAAAAGCATTCTTTTTTATTAATCTAAGGTAATTACAAATCGTATTTGTTTTAAAAATTCTCAATTGTTTGATAATGAAAGCTCAAACATTTTTGCAATTTCTTCTGTTCGAACTTAGGACCTCTAAAAATAACAATCATCCTTTTACTACTAAGGTATCTTAGTTCGTACATCAAGTGATCTCAGTGGTAAAAAAATTATTGTTATTCTTTGAAGTCCCGAGTTTGAGCACCATGAATATCAAGAGTGTGAGCATTAGATGTCAAATGACTGAGAATTATCTTTAAACAGATATTGTATTTTACTTACTCATATTACTCCCAAAAAAAAAACTTAAAAATGAAACCATTTTTTGTAATCTTTCCTTTATTTTCCTAAAAAACCGAAGGGAAGAATATTTTCCTAAAAAAATCAAAGGAGAGAAAGGAAGAAGATGAACTGAGACTGCATGTCGCACATTTATCAGACAAACTATTTCTTAACGAACGATCTAAAAATGAAAACTGATAACTTTCGAAGTTGGCAGTTCGTATTGGTTGAATTTCCAATTACTATTCATGTGAAGTAGGGTGGTCTATATCCACCGAGGGCAAATAATGCGGTGATCATACTGGCATTGGGACAATGAACTGTAGCTTTGCCTACATCACAACCTTAGTGGAGATGAGCATCAAATGTTGTAATGCTTTTATTCAACTTATCTGAACTTTTATAATACAAAAGTAAATTCTATATTTTGGAATTAGAAACTAGGGTAAACTACACGTTTAATACCTCAACTATCATATTATTCCATCTTGATCACTCAACAATCTTTTGTTTCAAAATCTTATCTAATGTTACGTTTTGATTTCATTTTGATTACCTCCGTTAAAAAATTAACAATGATATTGACAAGTCACCATAAAATAATATCACATCATTAAAAAAATTTAGAAAATATATATGTATCAACAATTCTACTTTTTTAACAATGAGCGATCAAAATAAAACCAAAACGTAACGTTAGGTATATTTTGAAATAAAAGTAATAGTTGAGGAACTAAAAGTGTACTTTACCCTAGAAACAATAGAATTTGACCTGCAGATGATAACTTATAAGACAACAATCCTAATCTGCATATAAATAAAGCACAAAAATGCAAAAGAACACAGGAAAAAGTTTAATGGTTTCTAGCTAGTAACTATTAAGAGGGCTTAGATAACTGCATTACTTCTCATACTTATTGAACCAGAAACATTCAATACAACTCCGTTTTTAAGAGGGCGAAACGATCGCCGTTCATCTATAATATACAATTCTGCTAGTGATGATGAAGCAACGATTCTGCTCTAAATTCACTAAAAGTTTCTACTTGGTTTTGAGTGGTGCAGTATGACAATCGTGTTATTATTTCTCTCATAACAGCAATTTGCAGAGGGCTCCAATATCATTATACAACAACATTTGGCAGTTAAAATCAAATGAATGTTATAAAGAAGATAAGTGGGTTTTGCATATATTACCCACTAGCATTCTCGGCAGATATGTCGTTCGCCTCGTCATTACTGCGTTGCATTTTCGCAATTTCGGCCTGTGCTCTCTCCATGATCTGCCTCTTCTGTGTTTCCAACTCCCTGTGAAAATCCATTCTCATCTGCTCCAATTCCAGCATCTGCTGCCTTTTACTATTCTCAATCTTTTCGTATATGTCGCTAAATTTCTGAATAGAATCCGCAAGCAGTCTGACCGAAGAACCCTCGGCAGATTGCCTCCCGAATCTTCTCTTTTTAGGTGGCAGACCATCTGAGACATTCTCCTCACCGTCGGTGGAATCAGAGTTTGCTGGACTATCCCTCATTTCATCCAAACCATTTGCTCGGTTCAAATAAACCCGAGGGTTCATGAATACATATTCACCCGAGTCAAACCCGCAAGAGAGCTGGCCCTGCTGTGGAGGAGTTGACATCAACATATCCATCTTCTTGAAATAAACCCATTTACTAGTGGTAGCACCAGTCTCCGCTAGCATAGCCTTCTCCTTTTTATATTTCTTCTTCAAAGTATCCAAACGATTCCGGCATTGTGTCTCGGTTCTTTCTATCTTTGAAATCTCTGAAACCTTCTCTGCAACTTCTTGCCATTCCTCGGTCCGAAGGCTCTTCCTCCCACATTGCAAAAAGTGGTCACCCCAGGAATCTAGCAAAACAAATGTCTCGTGCTCGGTCCAATCCGTAAGAGAATTCCTCCCACCATATGCAGGCTTTACCACCGATGGTGATGGAACTGCCGGTGCAGTTACTCGAGGAGCAAATTCGTAACTTGACACCAAACTTTTCAATTTCCTCTTTTTCGGATGCTTCCCCAAGTCACCACCTTCATCCTCATCCTCATCCTCATCCTCATCCTCATCCTCATCCATCAAGTCATCATCCTCGTCGTCGTCATCGTCAATCACACCTTTTCCTACATATCGAACACCATTATTTCGGTTAGGATTTTCGTCTTCCTCCCCCAAATCATCAGCTTCGTCGTCCTCATCTTCCTCGTCATCAACATAATGATTCCTTATCGGCCCAGAAAATGGAACATTTCTTACCTGAAGCTTTTGGCGATTCGAAGAACCATAACCCTGCCGGTGACTAATACCGTAAGGATTTGGAGGATATCTAGCATCATCCTCAATGTCATCCATTGGGGGGGAACTCGGCTAAAAAATGAGACAACACTAAAGTATCCCTAACAAAATTCAACCCAATCTCAAAAACAAAATTTGTAATCACAGATGCTTCCTCGTCCAATCAATCTTCAAGAACAACACAACAGCCAATATTGTTTTGCCAAAAACAATCCATTCTCATCAACATTCCTAAAAATCTCGAATATTTTCTTGTTAAAAAAAGAAATAATTGCAAAATTATGCATCCACCTTTATTACAGAATCAAATAACAAAACCCCATAAAAGATTGATTTTTTAAAAGTTTTTTTAACTCTAAACCATGCAATTCCCAAACTTTCAACACCCAAGTTCACAAAATCAAACCCCTCAATGTTAATTTACCAAATCCAGAAATAGAAAAACCAATAAATTTCCAATTCTTCTCTTCTGTCTGATCCCTTTTACTTTCCAGCTGTTGATCACTGATTCATCCTTCACCCACCAAAAAAAAAATCAAATTCCAATTAAACCCTCATCAAAATAAAAAACCGTAATATCAATTCAGAATCCAGTTTAACTAAATCAAGATTTACCTGACAAAATCTCAAAATGCCCAAACTTCTCTTAAACATCAAACTTTAATTGAAGCACCAAGGAGAATCTAGCTCAAAAAATAAGGAAAATGAATCGCTTCGTTTCTTTTTCTTGGGGGAGAGGATTTGTCAGGGGAAGGGGAGAAAACAAACTGTGAATATGGCCAGTGTAAAAAACTTGGAACGGGAAAAATAATAATTGAGGGATGAAAGAGAATTGCTGCAATTGTACGCCTTGTTCCTAATATTTTTGGATAACAGGCCTTGATATTTACGGGCCCATTGATTAAGGGCCTTTGGTATGGGTAGAAAATTTGATTTTGATCGGGATGGAATATATATTTAGATCGAATCAAGGGTAAATTATTCTAAACACTACAAAATTTTAGGTTTAATATTTATTTTAATATTGAAATTTAAATCGATACGATTATATCACTGAATTTTATTTTTAGCTCCAATTATAATATGAGACTGTTAACTCATTGGCGTCGTGATTTGAAAATACGTGTATATATTCGATTGTGGATATTTGAATTCTATGAGTTGAGATACAAACCAACTATTTTGATACCGAAATATTTGAATATGTCGATACCATTGGACATCCCTACTCACAAGTAGGATAAAGTACACGTCTTATTTTGTTGAATCTCTTTACTATTAAAAATTATAAATGATCCCGATTATAGGTTATTGCTTTATTGAGTTTTTCAAGTATGAAAAGTTATAAAATGGTATTATTCATATGTTCTAAACTCGTCATTTTTTGTAAAAACAATTGGCGACCGTCTGAGATGGACGTTAACATTTTGATTGAGATATAATAAAATATTATGTTAATGAGCCAGTGTTTGAAAACAACAACGATGTCAACAAATATTATTAAAATATAATTTTTATCATATCTCAGCATGTATATTAATGTTTAGCTCAGACGAACATCAATTTTTTAATAGAAAATGATAATTTTGGAACATATAAATAGTTAGGTGCACAAACTAACTTACTTCAATATTTAAATGAATCGTTGTTATTTTTAAAGATCATGAGTTTGAGCACTAACAACTGTAAGGGTGATTAGGCGTCTTTTAATAGTTAGGAGATTCAACATAGTAACATCCAATAATCGGATTATTTATGTAATTTACCTTAATAATAATAACCATTGATCTTCAATGAAGATGAACTCTTCTGTCATTTTTTTGGAGGAAATGGGAAAGAAAATCACAAATAAGATTCCAAAGAGAAATATGTCAAAGCCACGCCACCTTCTCGACATCAAGGAATTAACCCACGTGACTTTTCTATCACATGGTAAAAAAAACAACGAACGTGTGAGGTTAATCGTGACCGTATATTCCAACGCGTCGTAAGTATCAACGGACGAGGCAACGTCGAATGACACACGATAGGAGAGACCGAATATTCTATGACGACGGGAGATTGGTGAAAATGAAGAAATGCATGCATATTATATTCATCATTTTGCTTAATGTCAAAGCTTTCCCCTTACCATATATAATCAATTCTTGCCTTCTCCAATTTACTCTCACTTCTATTCATTTAATCACAATAAATTTCAGCTTCTCTTGCCTCAAAAACCAACTTCAAACGATGGTGAGACTTTACTAGCCATTGATAATTATTTGTTTTTCAAGTTGGAAATTTCATGATTTATCAAGATTTTACTGATTATTTTGTGTTTTCCTGTCCCTCTCATTTGCATGAGAAAGGCCCACTCAAATTTGAGGTATACTACCATCTTCTTCTCCTCTTTATCTACGTAATTTTTTTATTGATAATCTATTTTCGTTCCTTAAAATTTTAAAATTTTATAAATTCACCCTATAACATAAAATATTATGTTGTCCCTACGATCATATGATCAAAGAGTTTTACTGAGTTTGATAGGAATTATATTATCTTTTGGTGCAGAAAGAATTTGTTCAAACTTCAGAGAGAGTGAAGTGTGTGGATCTACCGTCATCGAAACCATGATATTCAAACATTTTTTTAACCATTTAATCATATGGTTCCCCTTTCTCATCCTTGCAAAATCCACTCAACTATTTTGCATAAATTTTCCTACATGACAAATTTTCATGCAGGATTTTAGCCTCTTTGTACTCCGGAAATCTCTGTATCTGGAACTATCAGCCACAGGTATGACAATTCAATATGTATGTATGCATGCATGCATGCATGCATATATGTATGTATGTAAACAGAAAACACAAAGACTAGTTGATGGTGAAAAGAAACAAGAAGCTTATTAAGATATTCGACAATGCTTGGAGCTCTTGCTGATATACTAAGCACTAACTCAAGTTTCCAATGTTTCTGTAGAAAATGGAAAAGTCCTTCAAGGTCACCGAATCACCAGGTACATATATTGAGACATAATCTTTTGATCTCTAATAAATACTCACATTTCTAGTAATTTAGTCTCTAATGTGCATTAGAATATATTTGGAAATTGCAGTAAGGTCAGCCAAGTTCATAGAGCGGGAAAACTGGATAGTTGTTGGAGCTGATGATGGCTTCCTTCGTGTATACAACTTCGATACAACGGAAATGATCAAAGAAATCGAGGTGCATACCGATTTCATTCGGAGTCTGGCTCTTCATCCGACGCTTCCGTACGTGTTGTCGGCCTCCAACGACAAGCTTATTAAGCTGTGGGACTGGGAGAAGGGTTGGATTTGCAGTAGGGTGTTCGAGGGCCATGGACAATTGGACATTATGTGATGCAAGCTGCTTTCGATCCAAAAGAACTCGACACTTTCGCAAGTGCATCACTCGATGGCACCATTAAGGTACCTGAAAACAGAAAATCAGTGTTGAACATTGTTGAAATGTTCTGTTTGTTTGTCTGAAAATGTCCCGAATTTTTCAGATTTGGAACATGGATTCTGGATCTCTTGAGTTTACGTTGGATGCTCATTCGAAAGGGATTAATTGCATTGAATACTTCATTGCTGGTGATAAAAAAATTCTTATCAGTGTCTCTGATGATTTCGCTGCTAAGGTTCGTAACCAACAACATTTTCTTAACTATAATTTCGGCCACGTCATGTTTATCGCAGCTGCGGATATAATTTCACATTTTTTTGGAATCATAGACTCTGATTGATCAACAGGTATGGGATGTTGTGTCCAAAAACTAGAAGGGCACACACATAATGTTACTACAACAAGTGTCCACCCTGATCTTCCTATTATAATTACTTGTTCTGAAGATTGTACCGTTCGTGTATGGAACAAAACAAGTTACAGGTAAATTTCCTTTGCAGCCAATACCTTTTAGGGTAAACTACATATTCAGTCACCAATTTATTTTCGCGGTTTTGTTTTGATCATCTAATTTTTTTAAAATTATACTTAATGTTACGTTTTTGTTTTTTATTGGTCAATCGTTGTTAAAAAATAAATAGAACTATTGATGCGGTAATTTTTTAATGATGACGTGACATTATCTTATGATGACATATCAACATTGTCGTTCATTTTTTTAACGGAAGATGATCAAAACGAAACCAAAATGTAACGTTAGGTGTGATTTTGAGAAAATTTGGCATAATACTAAAATGAGCCCCCAACGTTTACCAAAATGATCATTTTGGACTATATTCTTTTTCTTAGAACATTTTGGCCCCCAACTTTTCATTTCAGGCAAAAAGGCCCCTAATGTTTGATTGAATAGTTAATTTGACCTTTATTCTTTTTTTTAAGCATTTTGGCCCTCAATATTTCGTTTCAGGATAAAAAAGACTTCGTTCAATATCCCAGCAAGTAAGTTTACTGACATTGATTGAGTTATTTATAAGCAGAATTTGTGGTCCTGACCCTGGTTTTATAACAGAGTGGTGCTTGGGTGCGATAAAGGGACGATTGTGGTCAAAATTAGTGGCACTCATGGCTCGGATTATGCTAATGTTTGATGGCATTGTGGATCATAAGCTTGAAGATGCAAATTTATTACATCGACTAGTCGATATGTTCTTCCCTTTGTCGAGTAACCAATTTATTTAAGCTTGTTATTGTACTTGTGTTAAATTCCACGGAAGATAAGTCATATTTCGTATCAATCTTGTTAAATGATGGGCATATTTGTTCAATTGGATTATATATATATATAAGTTAACAATTGTTATATTATTCCGAAAGTAAAAGAAAAAGAAAAAGAAAATATAAGATTTTATGTAAAAAAATAAGGGTAAATTATTAGTTTAGTACCTTAATTATCATTTTTATTATGTTTTGTTCACATAATTACGGTGAAGCTGACGCGTATCCTAAGATAATGTCACTTTATTATTAAAAAAATTAATTTAAATCTTACACTAAAAATAATAATTAAATGATCAAAACGAAATAAAAATGACAATTGGAGTACTAAACGTCTAATTTACATAATAATATTATATTTAATTTAAAATATAATAATCTTAAAAAATTAATTTAAATCTTACACTAATTACAATTTAAAATATACTATATAATTACAAACTATCACATTTGGCCATTTTCTCTCTCTCATTAAATATATTATAAGAAATATATAAATTGTTGTAACCCACAAATTGAATATAGCATTTGATCCATTGGACAAGCCATCGCAATTTCAATTTATTTATCCTCCAATTTGATGATAAAAGAAAATTTTAGTAGATTAAATAAATTAAATTTAATAGATGTAATGTATAATTATATAAATTATTTTAACTATCAAGTCTAATATAATAACTTGACATTATTTAAATAACTAAATATTTTAATTAATGAAATAAAAATAATAATGATAAATTAAAATCTATTTATAATGAAATGATCAGGACTATGATTCACCCACTATATTAATATAGTCATAAGTGTATTATAAAAATATCTTAACTATAGCGTGGCACTTCCATTAATTTTAACTTATCCTAGTTAAGACATTTCAACTCCTGATAAGTTATACTATAATTAATATATTTCTATAAAACAAATATAATTACTTTTAACTATAATTTATTTAAATATTATTTTTACCAATAATTCTACAAATTTATCCTTTCTTTTAATAAGGCAGAGAGTGGCACTTCCGTAATTATATCCCTTCCGAAGCTATGGGTCTCTTTCTAATTCACATTTTTAGTTAAAACACACAGTAGAACACTCTCTCTCTTACGTTACACCAATCAAAGGCACCTCTTTCTATATTGAAACCACGATCTCGTCCCGGCATCTTCTTTATAATTTTTATCTGCAAAAATGGTTAGTTAATTTATTGATCTGTTTTGTTTCGCATTAGATCTGGTTCAAATCCCCTTTGTTTCGTTCTCAATTCTCAATTTCCTGTGTAATTTATGGAACCAGAAATGGGAAGCGTTTTCAGTGATTTTATTTTCCCGCCTTTTATCATTTCAGTGATATGCAGCTAAGCTAGAGAGTTCGGGATTTCGATATGTTGAAATCTGCCGAGTGAATTTGTTTTTCTTTTTTTTTCTCTCATTTGAATTGTTCAATGTGAATGCTGCAATTCCAATTTTGTTTTCTTTCCCACTGTTGAATGATTTTGATTTAAGATTTGTTTGGTTTTGACTAATTTCTTATCTTTTTTAACAGCCTCTCAGACTCGAAATTAAGGTACGTGTTATTAATTTCATTTGACTTCTGTTTTATTATTTGCAAATGTGTGAGTAATGTTCTTAACTGTGATGTTTGGATCAGAAGAAACTTGCTCAAAGGTCAGAGAGAGTAAAATCCGTAGATCTCCATCCAACAGAACCATGGTGATTTCTAACTTTATTCTGTTTCCCATTTATTTGAATTTTATCTTTTTCAAGGTTGAAAGCTAAATGTGATCTATTATAAATGTAATTGCAGGATTCTAGCAAGTTTGTATACCGGAACTGTGTGTATCTGGAACTACCAGTCACAGGTATTTGAGCTTTATTGATTGCCAAAACTAGAAGCTTTTTCATGTTCCATGTTATTGAAATACCATAATCTGAGAAAAAAAAGGTGAATAAGGGATTTATTTTAGTATTTCAGTTGGTTTCTAGAGTTTAGTTAAATAACTATCCTGTTTGCTTCTTTTTAATCCTTCTCATTATTATACTTTTGAAGTAGTGAAGAAAAGAAACAATTTTGAAAATTTCATAATAGAGCTTGATTTTTTGGTGCCGTCTGAAACATTTTCCCACCATCTGTCACAGTGCAATTCTGTGGGTGTTGTGGGATGCTATGCAAGAAACTATGGTTGGATTATTAGATGGTTATTTTTCCATAGAAAACATATATGGAACTTAATTGGTTTAAGCCTTAATCCAGACTAATTTTGTCCATTCTGCTTAGTCCAAGTTTTTTTTTTCCTGAAAGATATAAGGTACCTAAATCTTATTTACACAATAATAATAATAATAACTACAAATGTGTTATAGACGCTTACCTCTTCCTCTCTTCACTTGAATTGAGAATTTCTTTTATATTAGAGTAACCTTATACCTATGACATGGTACTTGAATTTACTCTTTGTTTTCGTTATGAGTAATTCCATTTCTTATTCCATCACTACTTTTATGATCATCTGATCAAATCCATGGACAATGGCAGATCTTGACTATCAACTTTGGGGGTGGGGTAATTAATTTTTTTGAAGAAAAGGGTATCATATAATGTATGCGTATATATAAAGCAGAACTTTGACTATTATTTCTTTCATGGTGTTTCTTCATTAGAAGAAACTCTTAAGAGGTTGTACAAAGCAATAGAAATTGCCTCTTTTTTAGGAGAAAAGAGCCTAAAACTGTCTAAATACTATGTGAAATTGTTGAAATTTTTTCAATTTTACATCAATTTAAAAATTAGAGGGGATATGAAATTTGGTTTTCCTCCAAAAGATATATTTATTTGAAAATACTATAAAAATTAGGGGAAACCAAAAATACCATGGTTTGAGAAATAATTAAAAAGACAATATTGAAATATAAAAAAGTCTTAGAAAAACTAGCTTGAAGGATAAAATAATGCTTTAAAAAATAAGTTTAAATTCACATATTTGTTACTTATCTTTACGACAATTTAAGTCAACTATATAAAATTTATATTTTGAGGGTATCAATTTAATATAATATAAATATATATTAACTATATTTAAAAAAATAAAAGAGAAAAGATTTTCTGACATTTTTAAGGTTCTGAATGAAAAAAGTTAAAAATTTCAGGGGGTTATTGACAATTTTTCAAAATCTTGTGGCCCATGGCCCCCTCTACTCATTCTTACCTTCTGCCATTGTCCATGGAACATGGGGACATGTATCTTTTTAGCGCTATGTATATTGTTTGTCCTTTATCTGTGAAACTTTTTTTTTTGCATCTTTTTAGTTCTATGAAGAATGCAATTTTCAGATGCACCTTGATATAATTATGTCATAATACGAGTCTATAAAATTTATTATTAATTTCATGAAATTTATTTAGTTTAAGGTTTTGAATTCTTAAAATGTTATTAAAATGGTATTAGGCTTGTTTTGCCGTTTTGCTAGTCATTATATGTAGAATTTGAACTGTTTAGAGTTTTACATATTCTTTAGTGTTAACTAAGCTGTCCTTGGTGTACAGACCTTGGCTAAGTCATTCGAAGTCACTGAGTTGCCAGGTATGTGTTCATTTGTTATGGTTCATCTATCTTTGTCCGCTGGTGCTATTTTCCCATTTTCTTTCATCGTGATGATGTTATTACCATTCTCTGAAGTTGACATTTTTCATCTGCAGTTAGGTCAGCCAAGTTTGTTTCACGCAAACAATGGGTTGTTGCTGGAGCTGATGACATGTTTATTCGGGTATACAATTACAACACGATGGATAAGGTTAAAGTATTTGAGGCACATACCGATTACATCAGATGTGTGGCTGTCCATCCTACTCTTCCTTATGTGTTGTCATCGTCTGATGATATGCTCATAAAGCTTTGGGATTGGGAGAAGGGTTGGGTGTGTACTCAGATATTTGAGGGACATTCCCATTATATCATGCAAGTGACCTTTAATCCCAAGGACACTAATACTTTTGCCAGTGCATCTCTTGACCGTACTATAAAGGTACAAATGGCACCTTTCTTGTATTTTTTTTCATTATCTTTCCTGCTTCATTTGTTATAACCTTGCTGAATCAGCGTTGACTTTGTTTGAAATTTCTAGATTTGGAACCTTGGCTCCCCCGACCCAAATTTTACTCTGGATGCCCACCAGAAAGGTGTAAATTGTGTTGATTACTTTACAGGCGGTGATAAGCCCTATCTGATTACTGGTTCTGATGACCACACTGCTAAGGTATGCACTATGGTGGTACAATATATATTCTGCTATCTTTTGACCATAAATAAATCTTGAGGAACTATTCACAGATAAATTCCATGGGTGCAGGTATGGGACTACCAAACAAAGAGCTGTGTTCAGACATTGGAAGGCCACACGCACAACGTTTCTGCTGTTTGTTTCCATCCTGACCTTCCAATTATTATCACCGGCTCTGAGGATGGGACAGTTCATATCTGGCATGCGACCACTTATAGGTAGAAACATTTCTGCTTTGGTATGCTTACCCCCTTTTGATTTCTAGACATTTGTTTTGTGGTGAGGCTGATATTGTCTGGTTCTGTTTCTGCATAACAATTCAAGATTCCACCTTATTTCTCATCTTCATGTCTCAGAATTGCATCGGTTAACGTGTAAATGCTTGAGGATTGTAAAAAAATGTTGCCATGGGCATCTTGAGTAAACCTGTCCAAGGGCCAAGACCTGGACTAGAAAATTTGTAATTTGGGCTTGAAAATGCATTGGATTCAGTTGTAAAAATAAAAATATTATTATAAAAATATTTTTAATATTTTATTACATGCAACAGTAATTTGGGCTTTTGAGCTGGCCACAAGCATGTGTAAGCAAAACATAAAATTCCCAGACTGCAGCCAGTGGACTGGTCTAACCTTGAGATAGATGTAGAAATTCATGGTCTGGAACCACTTTGGTGCTTTCCCATTGATATTTCATCTTTTATTGTTTTCTTAAGATGTTTTGATCTTAATAGTCCTTGATGCATCTGGTGATGTCTTTACGTGTTTCAACTTATTTACTTTATAACCAATTCATTTGTTTTCAGGCTAGAAAATACATTGAATTATGGTCTTGACAGAGTTTGGGCAGTCGGATATATGAAAGGCTCACGGAGGTAACTTGTTTTGGTTATATCATGCAACAGTTTTATGTTTATTTTCTTCTTTTTTCCCTCACTATAACTTTTTCTAGGTTGTTTATTTATACTTAAAATGGTAGAATGAATTTTTGGTCATTAAATGCTAGAACAACTCCTGATAAATGTATTTCAAAAAGAAAAAAAACTCCTGATAAATGTGAGCAATCAACCAATACTCTCATTGAAAAAAATGTGAGAAATCAATTATAACCGTCGTTCTTTTATGTTTGACCTGACTTCTTTAGTTGTATGTTTCCTTTTACATGCAAATTGATGATATTGGATTTCTGAACCGAGTTCTTGCTTAGATTTCTGAACCGAGTTCTTGCTTAGTTTTCATGCCAAGGTAAAACTAAATACCATTTTCATCTTGCAGGATTGTGATTGGATATGATGAAGGAACTATTATGGTGAAAATTGGCCGTGAAGTACCTGTAGCAAGTATGGACAACACTGGGAAAATCATATGGGCTAAGCAAAATGAAATTCAAACCGTGAATATTAAGAGCGTAGGAGCAGATTTTGAGGTAGTGTATTTTTCATAAAAATTCTCTTTCTGCATTCATGGTGTGACCTTCAATATTGGAATTTTCACCTTAAGGAGATGGTGTTATATTTTTTTCTTTGGTTCTTAGGTTACTGATGGAGAAAGATTGCCCTTGGCTGTTAAGGAATTGGGGACCTGCGATCTATACCCTCAAGTAAGTTGCTGATTTCTAGCGTCTTTTAGATGAATTTGTGCATAATGTTACGGGTCACTCCTAAAATATGTTGATCAATTTGTTTGTAATCTGTGTTTATGTTTGTTCGTGTATAATCTTTTACCCCTTAGTCTATCTTGTGTTTCTCAGAGCTTGAAGCATAACCCAAATGGGAGGTTTGTTGTAGTCTGTGGAGATGGTGAGTACATTATATATACAGCTTTAGCATGGAGAAATAGGTCATTTGGTTCAGCATTAGAATGCGTTTGGTCATCTGATGGTGAGTATGCTGTTAGAGAAAGCACATCAAAAATCAAGATTTTCAGCAAAAGTTTCCAGGTTTGTACTTTTTTGTCTTTTTGATGATTCCTTATCTTGGATGGTATTTTTCTACATATAATTTTTTTTGTGCTTGCACACTTTGTTTTATGATGTTGAAAGATATAAAAGCATCATCAGACCTTTCGTTTCTGGAGATCTGGGTTTTGCAAATAAAATTTTGGGTAGGGACGGGGATTGCAATTTTCAAGTGTATATGATTAAAATCTTATTATGTGTATTATGTAGTTCCATTTATTATGGAATTTTATCTAATGCTATATTCAAGTTGATATTTACATATTGAAAGAGATTTAACACTTCCAGGAAAAGAGGAGTGTCCGACCAACCTTCTCTGCTGAGCATATTTTTGGGGGCACTTTACTGGCTATGTGCTCCAATGATTTTATTTGTTTTTACGATTGGGCTGAATGCAGGATGATTCGTCGAATTGATGTTACTGTGAAAGTAAGCTAAAATAGCTCTACTTGCTCCATTTGCTTCTTTTTAGCTATCTTGCATTCTAAATGTCTTTTTGGTTATGTTACGGAAAATGTCAGAATCTCTACTGGGCTGACAGTGGTGACTTGGTGGCAATAGCTAGTGATTCATCTTTCTATATCCTAAAGTACAATGTAAGTCTCTAATGTAATCTGCTTCTTAGATCAGCAAAATCAATGGACTCTTTGTTAAATGCACAACTTCTTACAGTTATGCACTAATGAATTTTGATACTTCCATGTTGCAGCAGGATGTAGTTCAATCTTACTTAGATAGTGGAAGACCGGTTGATGAACAAGGAGTTGAGGATGCATTTGAGCTTCTTCATGAGACCAATGAGCGTGTCAGGACTGGCATTTGGGTGGGGGACTGTTTCATTTACAACAACGCTTCATGGAGACTTAATTACTGTGTTGGTGGAGAGGTATTTGTGATGTGCTTATCCTTAGGTTTAAATTGCTCCATACATTTAGATGCATCGGTTTTTGTTGCTTTTGATGTTCACTTTGATCATTTAATTATTTTAGGTTACCACAATGTTTCATTTGGATCGTCCGATGTACTTGTTGGGATATCTTGCAAGTCAAAGTCGGGTATATCTGATAGACAAAGAGTTTAAGTAAGTCAATTAGTGATTGCTAATTTTTATGTCAAAGTGCTTGTTGTAATGTTGTTTGCTTGAAAATGCATTGTTAATGTCTATTTGCCCTCTTTTTTGTCATGCGTACAGTGTTATGGGATATACATTACTTCTCAGCCTGATTGAGTACAAGACTCTTGTGATGCGTGGAGACTTGGAAAGGGCCAATGAAATTTTACCTTCAATTCCTAAAGAGCACCATAATAGGTATGCAACTCAATATATTTCCTTCCATTTTCAAAGTATATAGTTGGTCATGTTCCATCATTCTTGCAACTGTTCCAAAATGGGTTGTAGATGTAAAAATTAATTTCTCCTTTCCCATTCTTTCATTCATATGTACTTCTTTTTCATTTTTGGTTCTTGATTACTCAGCTCGTGCTGAATATTTATCCCCCTTGTGCTTGGAATTGTGTTTTCATCTTTCGTAATATCTTTTCATATCTGGATTTGTTGAGAAACTCAGAATTCCCGTTTGTCTCTATAAAGTGCTTACTCTGAAGCTAGTCCCTTTACCTTTGGGCATTCCATTCCCTGAAAGCCATTTATTTTAAATTTGTTCTATTGAATTTCTCCATGTTTAAGTTGTGATTTCTGAAATACTTTTTGGATCTAATCAGTGGTTTGCATGTTTGATAGTGTGGCCCATTTCCTGGAATCGCGAGGAATGGTAGAGGAAGCTCTGGAAGTAGCTACAGATCCTGACTATAGATTTGAGCTTGCCATACAGCTTGGTAAACTAGATATTGCTAAGGTAAGAGTTGTTATCTAATTGGCTTGGGATGGAAGCGCAACTTCGTAGATCTTTTCCTTGCTGGAATATTTTATTTATTTATTCAATTTTGTGTTAAGCTTTGATTTTTCTCTTTAAGAAATTTCCGTCATCACTAAAGATTCATACTCATTTGTGCAGGAAATAGCTGCCGAAGTTCAGAGTGAGTCTAAATGGAAGCAGTTGGGAAAATTGGCCTTGTCCACTGGAAAGGTGTTGTGTGTTCTCTAATTTACCAACTTTTTCTGTTCCATTTTTCTCTGTTATGATTGTCATTCTTGATTCTCCTAGCACCCCCTTTTAGTAGCTTTTGCTTTTATATTGGTATCATGATGTGGTTACAGATCACAATTTGAGAATGTTCAATGTATTGGCTCTTGAATGAATCTCTTAAGGATGTATGAATAGTGCTTTGCTTTTAATTACTATTTTTCAATTATATGAACTATGGATTGGTTATTTAACTGGTAAATGAATTGTAAGATGGCCTTGTGTGCTCAGTGTCTTCTTTAATGACAGATGCACGTTACTGTTTTCTGAAGTAGATTATGAATTGTATGACATGCACTACCTTTTTGTCTTAATGTAGCGCAATGGGCATACAATGCTGTATAAATTGTTAGTTTTCCTTTCCTTCTCAGCTAGTTTGAATAAATTCTTTTAATTATTTTAAACTTGTCAATTGTCATTGCAGTTAGCAATGGCTGAGGAATGCATGAAGCATGCGATGGACCTGAGTGGTTTATTGCTGCTTTATTCCTCCTTGGGAGATGCTGAAGGAATATCAAGACTTGCATCACTTTCCATAGAGCAAGGGAAGAACAATGTTGCTTTCCTTTGTTTATTCATGTTGGGTAAATTGGAGGATTGCCTTCAGCTTTTAGTGGAAAGGTAATTCTGTGTCAGGTACCTGACAAAAATAGACTGTCACATGTTCCAGTAGTTATGGATTTATTGAAGTATTCGTTTTGCAGCAATCGGATACCGGAGGCTGCTCTTATGGCTCGATCTTATCTTCCAAGCAAGGTTTCAGAGATAGTGGCAATTTGGAGAAAAGACCTCATCAAGGTTAGCTCCCATTACCTTGTTTGTGGTGTTTCTTGTCCTGCTTTCTTTATGAACTGGGTTAGTTTTATCATAAACTCTTGTTTGTTTTGGTTCTCTTGTTTGATCTTCTAATAGTTTACTATTCTTCATACTCTCTAAGCTTCTTGTTCATGAATTATGCATGTGTCTTAACCATGTCAACATATCTACCTTTCCCCCCTTTTTATCCCAGATGTAAACTAGTATAGCTTGATTTCTTCCCTTTTGTTCTAATTGCTGGTTAATTTTTTATGTAACACCTTGATATTTGGCTGGAAAAGATTTGTTTGAAAATCTTCTTATGGAATATCTTTGTGTTTTGATGTGAACTAGCTTGTCTTATCCTTTTTTTTCCATACACCGAAGCATTTTAGAATCTTTGTATTTCCATTCTAAGTGCAATGATATATAATTTCTTTGTACTCACGTGACATGAATCAGTTGGGCTTGCATGTTTTAATTTCTTTGTACTCATGCTTCATCAATCAGTTGTTTTCAAACACTGAAGCATTTTAGTATCTTTGTATTTCTATTCGAAGTGCAATGATATTTAATTTCTTTGCACTCATGTGACATGAATCAGTTGGGCTTGCATGTTTTAATTTCTTTGTACTCATGCAACATGAATCAGTTGGGCTTGCATGTTTTTAATTTCTTTGTACTCTCATGAGAGATGAATCAGTTGGGCTTGCATGTTTCTGTTATGATACTCAAAAGTAGATCTACTTATCCGAACACTTTTTGACTTACGTTACTTATTATGTTTGATTAATTGAATAGATTTCTAAATGATTTGATGTTATTTTTGTGTCATCTGCAGGTTAATCCAAAGGCTGCTGAATCCTTAGCTGATTCGCAAGAGTATCCTAACTTGTTTGAGGATTGGGAACTCTCTCTTTCTGTTGAGTCTAAAGTGACAGAAACAAGGTACCAAACAGGATTCCTTTCTGTTATTTATTGTTACTTGTTATTGGTTACTATATTTGTAGGCAATTTTATTTGGTACCACCTTCACACAATCACGTTGGAGAATACATTTTCGGATTCCAGTTGTTTGGCCTTCTTGGTTGCTCTATGATTTTTTTACTTCTTGCTTTGGTTGCAAATCCTTGTTGAAGCACCCTATTTTTCTGTCTCACATGGATATGTTATCAACTTTCTATTGCTTTGTAGGGGTGTTTATCCTCCTGCATCAGACTATTTGAACTGCGCTGATAGATCGCAAATGACACTTGTGGATGCTTTCAGAAGCATGCAAGTGGAGGATGAGGAGCCACTTGAAAATGGTGATCTTTATCATGAGGTATATAATCAATATGTATTTATTTCTAATTAACAATATATTAAATCTAGGAACTGCTTTGAGTAGTTCACTCCCGGCTAAGGTCTGGTTTTACTTTGTCCCTTATTTTGTGGGATTCAGGCTGCAGAACCAAATGGATTAGAGCAGAATGAAGAAGAGGGTAGCCAAGAGGAGGTGGTTGTTGTGGATGCTGATTCCAATGATGGGGCAGTACTCGTCAATGGTAACGAGCCTGAAGAAAAGTGGGGTACGAATAATGAAGGATCCCGGTCAGCCTAAAAGCTATTGGTCGGGGCAGTGTGAAAATCGATATCGTCTCTGGTGATTAATAGTTCTAAAATGTCATACTAACCCCTTTATCTTTTGGGCTTCTCTGACTGTTTTGTTTTAGCACAGTCACTAATTGTAACAATTATACTGCCTGCTAACCTCTAAACAGTTTTCCTGACTTTGTCTTTGTCTTTCTGACTTTTGCAAATTACGATATTACTAATATAGCCTTTCTTTCTTGTATTAACAAGTTTGTTTCCCAAACTTGGGCGAAGATCAAAGATCAAATTAGTTTGACGCCTATTGTTGATAAATATGATGTACATTTATTGGCCTTCAATCCCTCATATACCCTGCAGCATTTCGTGTTTAATTTTTGTCTGTACTATCAGTTTAGTGCATTCTAACATCAAATTGATATTATTTATCTTGTATGCATTAGAACACTAATATGAGGTCTAGATAATTTTTTTATTATATGGTGTTTTTGGCAGTTCCTATGATTTGTCAAGCGTTAATTCTTACTTTTTATCGTTCTTTTCTGCTGTTGGCAGTTCTTACACCAGACCGTTACGTCCCATGAAGACATTCATTTCGAGCTCCAGTCAGCACTTATTTGAGGTTAGAAGCTGGGATTCTTATTATTTCTTGAAGGAGAAAGCCTTGTAGTTTTTCTGGTTTGAATTTGCTTAACGCGTGCCCGAAGTATGCATATTGGCCCTTTAAAAGTGTGCATGCATCTGGATCTTTATAGTGAATGTCTCCAGTCTCCGGAATGTAGTGTTTGTTCCTTTCCAAATAAAATCTAAGTAGAGTGCGTCAATAGGATAAAGCATTATCATTATCATTGTTTTAACAGATTTCAAACTATGATGTCTGATTGTCTTGCGTACCCGGTGGTTTGGAGCTGTCAAGAACATTGAATTTTGGCTTGGGGAGGGCATATACAATTACTGGTTAGCTTTGAAACTATTATTTTAGTTGCTTTGTTTTAAGTTTGACCATATATATATATATATATTCTTTCGGGGCATTGTTCGATGTGCCATTATGAATGTAGAAAGAACTTAAGAATTAGTGATGATTATCCGATTCTAGCTCATTTCTATGTTGTTTCAATTATAGATGCTACAGCACTATTTTGTTTCCCCCTTGAGGCATGAATCAATTGGTTGGGTTGTAGTTGTGTGTGGGGTTCAACATATGGAACTTGTACTGCAATATAATAATTTGGTCACTTATTTTTAACGTTTTGGTCGTATCAAATGTCATTAGTTTGATAATACATGTTAGTAAAAAAGTTTTATTTTTTAATTTGACCACTCAACTTTAAATAAAATATTAATTTGACTCATAAAATTTATATCAAATATCAATTTGACCCTGAAATTTTAAATAAAATATCAATTTAAGTCTTGGATCCAACCAAAGTTCCTCACTGCTAGTTGTCACTCATCAGCGCCATTGGTTTTTTTCGGCTATCATTGACAATCGTTGGATCCTAAAATTTTCAGTTCACCCTTATTGCTTTAATTATTTTGGAATATATTGATTGTTTATCCATTGCTTTGAGCTAACAATTGCACTCTAAATCATGAACTTTTAGCAGCTCAGGGTTGGAAATTGTAGAAAGTATCCGGTTAAGGTTTCATTGAAATGTTGATATATTTGCAAAATAAAAATAATTAAAAGATGATGATAATTGTTATATTAACTTAGCATTTCAACCATGTGCGTTCCGCAATACTAATCCCAAATTTCTCTTTTCATCCAAATGATTTAAACTTTGAACCCCCTGCAGCGGCCCGCTACAGCTTTCTTTGTAATCAAACAGAGAACGAGTTATTTGATATTCAACTACATTTGAAGACGTGTAACAGATAGGGTTTTACGGGTCGATATGTTGGACTCTTGAACAGCAAGAAATTCCAACTTTCATAGATGTTTTGATCTATTATCCTTCAGCTATTTTTTGGTTGTTTTGAGTTTTGAGATGATCATAAGCTTTTTCTCCACTAACCATTCCTCTTTGTCTCTGAACATGACATTTCCATGTAAGCATAAAACGAGCACAAACATAACCGAAATACCAAATATAAATATGGTTGATGGAGAAAAAACTTACGATAGTTAAAGGATAATAGATCGAAACATCCATGAAAGTTGGAATTTTTTATTGTTCAAGAGTCGAACATATCCATAGGTAAAACCATCTCTCCTACATTGCTTCAAATTTAGTTTAATAATATCAAATAATTTGTTAGCTAGACTGTGTTAATGTAATTCAACATATATAGATATGAGAAGAATCTCTATAATGCATTTGATGGATTGATACAATATTATTGATCTAATGTGAATACAAAAATAAGTAAGCAAGAAGATGCGAAAACATAAGAGCAACAAAGATAAATTAATCAAATCAAAGAAGAAGCAAATTAATACTAGAACATTTTTAATAATTTACAGAGCTTTGCTTTATATAGAATTAAGATAGGATAAGTGGACTGTTGGGACTTAAATAGCAGTCCGCCGCTGCAATAATATTCGTTATATAGTGGTAGCGGTGCCGTTCAACACCGTTATTGCATGATCGCGATCTCGCAATCATCACAATAACTTTCGCTATGTGTACAATTGAGATAAAACGTAACGTAGTCAAAAACACAACTGTTACCTTATAAATGAAGGAATAAAAATTGTTACTCATCATAGTTAATTTTTTTGAAGTTTAAATCTATGCATTATTGAGTTTGGAGATTTTTTTTAAGAAACAAATATTAAATTCGTGTTTAAAAGATTAAGAAAAATAAATTGAAAACTTTAAGGTCTTATAGTCGTTAGTGACAATAGCCAGTAAAGACAGATGATGGTTGCGAGTTGCGAGTTGCAGTTGAAAATGGGGGGTTTTGTTAGAATTCATGAATTAAATTGATATTTTATTTAAAGTTTAAGAATGAAATTAATATTTTATGTAAAATTATTCTCTTTTAATAGTATATCACATCAAAATGTTATAAATAGATAATTTAAATAATCAACATGTTAATTTTTTAAAATTAACATGTTATAAATTAATAACGTAAATGATCAAAATATTAACACTTTTAAAATTAATTTATGAAAATGAAATTAAAATGAATATTTTAGTGATTTATTCTTATATTTATTGAATGATTTTAATAATTAAATAAAATTTACATTTTTAAATTTTAAATTCAAATAATTATACGTAAAAAATATATTTTCGTCGTCAATAATTAATAAGAAATATTATAATCATACATCCCTTTCCTCCGCTTTGGCGCCTTCCATGTCCAAACATTTAAACCCCGTTTGCAAAATAAAAATGAAAATATAATATAATAAAACCCCTTGTATTCTGTGGATCTTTCTCATCTCTCTCTGTTACTAGGATTTTGGGTCTGCTTTTGCTCTGATCTTATGTAAGTCCTTGTCCATCCCCCTCTTCTTTACTGTCTTAATGTTCGTCTCTTTATTTTTATTTGCTTTATGCTCCGAATTCTCCTCTTTTTCAGAACATATCTTCTAAAATTCCTCCTTTCCTGGATCCTAAAGTTCATAGATTTTCATGTTATTGTGTAATCCCCAGTTCATAGTAAACCTCAGATTCCTGTTTGCTTGCTTCGAATACTCGAGAAACAGCGAGAGTATAGCAATAAGTTAATTCCCTTCTATTTTTTTATCTGGCTTAGCTGAAAGTTTCCGTTGTTATTTAGGGGATTTATCATTATGTTTACAGACACAGAATTATCTCTTATGTTTATGTTTGCATGCGCTAAACCCTTAATTCTGGGAGTTTATGAAAAAATACCTCTTTCTTTTTCCCCCGTTTCGGATTGTGTTCTGTTGTTGAATCTGCCACCGTTTCCTGATTTTTTAATTTCGTTCCTAAAAGAAGAAGAAGAAATCTTCCGTTGCTGTGACTTAATTGGGCTAGTTGTCTAACGACTTGTTCAAGATTTATTGGGCACTCTTCCTTTTTGAATAAATTCATTCATAAGGGTATCTTGTGCTTACTGTTTCATTAGTTTAGTAATGGGGATGAATAATTTGATTGTAGACGCTAGTTTTTGTTCGGGTCTTTTTTTTTTTAATATTATATTATATATTATTATGTTATTAATTAATTACATATTTTGTAGGCTAAATTACAAGCCCAAATGGACTCACTCAGCAGACCCACTCACAAACCCGGTTTAGCAGCCCACCAGCATAGATCCGACTCGATTTAAAATCTTAAACATATTAGGGTTTCTTGGAGATCCAGCGCCGCTCAATCCATTGATCTGGACCCAAATCAACGGTCCAGATCAATGACCATTCTAGGGTTACAGGAACCCTAGCCCAGATGAGTACTGTCGTTGTCGCTGCCTATTTCTCTGTTGCTTCAGCCACCAGTTCTGACGCCGCTGTCGTCCTTCCCTGCATCAACAGTGACTCACCAATCCATCAAACAGTGACCCAGATCCTATCTAAGTTAGAAAATCAGAAATATCATCCTATAATTCTATGATATTATTATCCTACATTGAGACACTCAAATATCATCAAAAACCATCACCAACAACCATCAAAGGGATCTGGGATGCAACATAAAATAAAGAAAAGAAAAGAGAGCATTCGGGTTTTGGAGAGTGAAAACAGAGAGAGAAAAGGAGAGTTTACAAAGGGGGAAAGAAAAATCCCAGGCAACCTATTCGAACTAGAGAGAAAAAAGGAAAACAAAAAGGGAGAAGGGAGAGAAACCCTTACCTCGTTTCTCCGTTGAAAGCTGAGCTCTCCGGAGTTGAAGAACCCTTCGGGTTCTTCGTGGATTCACACCGTTTGAGCCCTTTCCAAGGGAAACTAACCCTGGATTCGTGACCAGGGCGTTGAGGTGCTTCGAGTAGTACCCTTTTCTCTCCGCTCCGGCGTACGGTGGTGGCCGCCGATCAGTGGCGCCCGGCACGGTGGAACCCCACCGGAATCTGGGCTTCAGTTGAAGCTTGGAGATAATTTTCTCTCTCTTTCTCTCTTGCAGGCAAAGAAAAAAAATGAGGAAATGGGATTAATTTGGCCTAGGCTTGGCCTTATATTTGGTGTGTGAAATGACGCCGTTTTGCCAAGGGTCTGAGCATGCGTGTTTTAGCATAAAGGGTAAATGGCACTTTTGGTCCCTAATGCTTTGTAACCGTATTATTTAGTCATTAAATGAAATTTATTTCATTTTATTCGAGCTTAATGTTTCAATATTTGTATTTTGGTCTGGTGCTGTTTGTTTTATTTATTATGTTGAACTTTGGTATAGTATTTATGATTATTTCAATTTAGTCATTGGTTGTTTGTTATTCATTTCTTGTGAATGTTAGAATTGGCCATGATATTTATGTTTCTTATATTTAGTTATGTTTGGTATTGGTATATTGTTTGAATCTTTTAAGTTCCTGTTTATTCTGCAATTGACCACTGGTTTGTTCTGTTTCATTCTAGCCATCGATAATTTTCTCTATTTTATGATTCTGGATACTATAGTTTCAATTTACGCAGTTAGTCACTTGTTCATAAAGTTAGTTATTTTATGTATTTTGCGTTATGGTCTGCCATGTTGCATGTTACATTTTAACCCATGTTATATTATTCATGACATATATTTCCAAAGTATTGTGCATGTACAAATTTATTTATTTTTATTTTATTTCATTACATACGCATGTCGTATCATATATGTCTATATACATAAATTTATTAAATTTTTTACCTTGTATATTCGTATATATGTACATATATTACCAATGTTTGTTCCACGTATTTAATATGATTTATTTAACTTGTAAAAATATATAGTTGTCTATATTTTTAATTGTTCAATCATTTTCAAGAACAACGATTTGTAGAACGTGCGTGGAAAGTATCACTTGATCGAAGTGGTATAATCCAATACGACATTCGAACAAATACGAACTTGAAATAAATCCATTTTCTTTTACTAATTAATTTATTTTAATGATGCAATGTGTGTGTGTTTTTAATTTACTATTTATTTCCTTTTATTCTAATGCAAACGTTAATTTTATTTATATTCGATTCGCATATTTATAATGAGAG